CATTAGAAATATCAAGTGTTCTGGGATTCCCATTCTTCTCAGAGTCAGCCACAGTTTCTTGTGATCCACACAGTCAAACGCCTTTGCATAGTCAATGAAACACAGATATACATTCCTCTGGTATTCCTTGCTTTCAGCTAAGATCCCTCTAACATCAGCTACAATATCCCCAGTACCACGACCCCTTCTAAACCGAGCCTGGACTTCTGGAAGTTCTTTGCTGGTTTGCTGTTCCAGTCATTTTTGGATAATCTTCAGTAGAATCTTGCTTGCATGTGAAATCAATGAGATTGTTCTATAGTTTCCACACTCTAATGGGTCGCCTTTATTTGGGATGGGAACAAACATAGATCTCTTCCAGTCAGTTGGCCAAGTGATTGTTCTCCAGATTTCTTGGCACAACTTGGTGAACACATCCAGGGCAGCATCTGTTAGCTGAAATATGTCAAAAATATGTCAATTGATATACCATCTATTCCTGTGGCCTATTTTTTGCTATTTCCTTCAAAGCCACTTGAACTTCTTCCTTCATCACCATAGGCTCTTGCTCAAATGTTATTTCATTAAATTATTCTGTATCTGCCAATTCTTTTGATACAATGACTCAGTATATTCCTTCCATCTTCTTTTGATACCTCCTGGATCATTTAACATTCTGCCTAAAGCATCCTTGATTATAACAACTTGAGGTTTGAATTTGTTCTTCAGTTCCTTGAGCTTAAGAAATGCTGAACGAGAATGGCTGACTCTGAGAAGAATGGGAATCCCAGAACATTTAATCGTGCTAATGCGAAACCTATACTTGGACCAAGAGGCAGTCATCAGAACAAAACAGGGCAACACTGCATGGTTCAAAATTGGGAAGGGTGTACGCCAGGGATGTGTCCTATCTCCATACCTTTTCAACCTGTATGCAGAGCAGATTAGGCTCTTGCTCATATGTTGTTTCATGCAATTCTTCTGTGTCTGCCAATTCCTTTCAATACAGTTCTTTAGTTCCTTCAATTTAAGATATGCAAAGCAAGTTTGTCCCTTAAGATTTTGGGACTGTTTTGTGTTCCTGTGCTGTTCTTTGAAATCTTTTCAGATCCTTAACTTCTTGGTTTCTACCTTTTTCTTTGGATTCTCGACTCTCTAGTGCAATATGCACGTGAAGCTGGACCCTGGACCCTGGAGGCTGATGTATGTATTCAGTGAGGTGAGGTTGC